TATATATATATATATATATATATATATATATATATATATATATATATACAGGGTGTTCCCAAAAGGTGGTACCAATATTTAGGGGTATGTAGTACTCGTTAAAACAAACCAAAAATTCTTAATAAACAGTACTCCGAAAACCTTTTATTTCTGAGTTATGAAGCATTTTATTCTGTGAAAATAGAAAATAACTAAAATTTACAATAAATGTTCAATGTGCCTTCCGTCCATTTCATCACACAATTCGGCACGTTTCCTTATTCAAGCTGCATGATATAAGCGTGTTGCTTTTGGAGCATTGCTTTTGCTCTGCCATACATAATATGAATATTCGTCATTTCAGAATTTGTGTAAAAATTATCTATTTTTCAGATAACACAAAACGAGACACGGTCCACAATCCAAAGTTGAATACAACAATCCCTGCGTAATTAGGTGATCACATACGGGCGTCCGTGAACGAACTAACTAATGGCTCCTGCACACAGGACGCGGTAATGTTTGCCGCGCGGCGAAAGTCCGCGCGACAGCCAATCAATATGTTGTTTTTCCGTAAGAGCTAGAAGGTTATTACGGAAAACAGCATATTGATTGGCTGTCGCGTGAACTTCCGCCGCGTGGCAAACATTACTGCGTCCTGTGTGCAGAAGCCATAAGAGACATGGAAACTGTTGTCAACAAATACGAAATAAACCTGGACTCTTTGACCTTCAATGACGAAACATGCTGAAATGTGTATTGACATGAGCCGAAGGCACATTGAACATTTATTGTAGATTTAATTTATTTTCTATTTTTCACAGAACAAAATGCTTCATAACTCAGAAATAAAAGGTTTTCGGAGTTCATTAAGAGTTTTTGGTTTGTTTTAACGAGTACTACATACCCCTAAAATTTGGTACCACCTTTTAAGAACGGGAGCGTCCCGATTGACCACGGTACGATTGGACACAACCAATCGATGAAAAGAATTATCTAGTGAATTACTAGGACGAACCAATCATTACAATCTGTGTCCAATCGTATCGTGGTCAATCGGGTCCCACCCTTAGGAACACCCTATATATATATATATATATATATTTCTTTTTTTTTATTCATATATTATATATCTCTTATTATATAAATATATTATATAAATATTATATATTCTTATGTAATATAATAAATACAAATTTGGTATAAAATACTAGATTTGAGGCTTTCACGGCCATTGATACAATGTCTAGATATAGCTTCCGGAATGGAGCCGTGTCTTGAATCAGCGATATGCCGACGTTTCCCAACATCCAGCATAGAGAAGAAAACATCTTCTCTTCTGAAAAATGCAGGTCTCCCTCTTCAAACTATTAAGTATTTAACCCTTCAAGATTCTTCAGCACCTAGATTCTACGGTCTTCCAAAAATCCACAAGGAATCAGTGCCCTTACGCTCTATTGTCAGCAATATTGGGGGACCTACCTACCAGTTAGCCCGCTATCTCACCAAACCCCTCCAGAAACTTACTGGTCTCAATGACCAGTAAGACCAGAGACTTACTGGTCTCAATCCCATATCAAGAATTCAACAGATTTCGTGAATAAGATCACAAAAATCAAGATGAATACTAATGATATCCTGGTGAATTTTGATGTAGTCTCACTGTTTACCAATGTTCCAGTCCAGGATACTTTGAACATCATCAAGAATTCCGAGGAAATTTCTGCCAACCTCTTCCCACTAATAGAACACTGCTTAACTTCAATCTATTTTCAGTTCCAAGGAGAGTTTTTCGAACAAACCTCTGGAGCGGCGATAGGATCTCCTATATCTCCTATCATTCCAAACATCTTTATGGGACACTTTAAGAATAAAGTTTTGAGGAACGCACCACTGAAACCATCCACATGGTTTCGGTATGTGGACGATACTTTCGTAATTTGGAATCATGGCAGGGAAACTCTTTCTCAGTTTCTCGGGTTTCTCAATTCACAACATCCCAGTATTCAGTTCACAATGGAAGTGGAACAAAATAATCAAATACCTTTCCTGGATGTGCTAGTCCAAAAGAACCAAGATGGCACCTTAGGTCACCTGATCTACCGAAAACCAACACACACGGACCGATATCTACATGCAACCTCTCATCATCATCCCTCGCAAAAGAATTCTGTCATAAGTTCATTGGTTTACAGAGCGCTCACAATTTCGGAACCATCTTCTCTGAATGGAGAACTAGAACACCTCAGTACAGCCTTAACTAAAAATGGATACAACAGCAAAAACATCTCGCAAATAATAAAAAACCAGAAGAACAGAATTGTCAGTCCTAAAAACACTGACACACTAGATGAAGAGAGAGAAAAGAGAAAAACGGCTGTCCTTCCATATCTCCAGGGCATAACAGAACCTATCAGCAGGATTTTGGGTAAACACAAAATCAAAGTAATCTTCAAACCTCATAGGAAGCTCTCCCATTTACTCCCAAATCCGAAGGATCAGAAATCATGCCTAGAAACATCAGGTGTATATAAGATCCCTTGCTCTTGTGGTAAAGTTTATATAGGAGAAACCGGGAGGAAGATCAGTACGCGAATCAAGGAACACCAGCGATGTACCAAGTATGGTCACTTTACTCAATCAGCCCTAGCTGAACACTGGATGGAGACTGGACACTCCGTACAATATGACAAAGCCACCAGATTGGCTTCCTCACAGTTATTTTGCCAGAAAACATCGTGAAGGTCTAGAAATTTTGAAACATCCCAACAACCTCAACCGAGACAAAGGTATGCAAGTAAACTCTATTTGGCATACTGCCCTCTCGGTTTTTTAATTGACTAGCTGATCAATTAAAATACGCTGATTGGCTGGATTCAAGCCTCGTCCCCTACTCCCTAAACACCATCTACACAAAGGGGGGGAGGGGGGCATATAAGGACTACCTTTACCCAAGGGAGCTCAATATCAGAGTTCTCAGCCCTGATGATGCAAACTGCAACGTTTGCGAAACGTCGGCATATCACTGATTCAAGACACGGCTCCATTCCGGAAGCTATACCTAGACATTGGTATAAAATTATATAAATATCTTATTTTGTGTTTTTATATTTTTCTTGCAAATCAGATTTTTTTTCTTGTTACTTTAAAAATTGTTGATTTTTAAAATTGTTGATTTTTATATTATAGCAAAGTTGTATAATTTTTTTTTTAATGTAATAATTTATTTGAAGAAAAAATGAAAAAGTCTGTTATTGACGATTAAAGAAATATTATAATAATATTTCATGTATTTTAATGATAACTGCAATTTATGATCACGGACACTCACAAAATATCTTTAATATGGTAAAATAGAAATCACAGGTATATGATAGTTTACGTAATAGCCGTTGTTTCGTCCTGGCGGCGTTGCAGATGTTGACAGACGTTTTGCTGCAGACATAAGATAGCGGATAGCTGTCCATAGTTATATAGTCAAAGAATGTAGAATGATCTTAAGTCCCGATTTACAATAGATGTAGTAAGTTTTTAGCCTTAAGAAATTGACCAATTACAGTCTATTATTCTTCTCAAATTTGACTGTGATTGGTGAATTTCTTAAAGCTTAGGGCTTAAGGTCGATATTCATAGTCGAATCTTATTTCAAACCATCTTAAGTAATGTCTTAAGATGCAAATACGGCTCTGTGATTGGTTCATGACATTTTAAGACAGTACTTAAGATGATCTTAAATATAAGATCGGACTATGAATACCGGCCTAAATCACCTATTGTAGATCAAGATTTAAGAGACGTCTACATTGGAAGTAAGCAGTAAGAAGTAGGAAGTAAGAATAAGAAATTGACCAGTCATAGTTAATTATTCTTCTCACATTCGACTGTGGTTGGTCAATTTCTTACTTTTACTTCCTACTTGCTATTTACTTCCAATGTAGACGTCCCTTTATTGTAGACAGAATCCCAGCACAGGTAGTATATATTTTAGTGACATTAGTTTAGCAGTGCAGTTAAAAAGAACAGACCATCAGTTTTCAAGAGGGGAGTTATATCCCCTACTCGAGGTTTCCAGGCATTACAAATAACAAGTTTGTTTAGATGCGCAGTTAGGTGTATAGTTGTGATCCAAGCATTCGCGACGGCTCTATCAACAGCCTTGAAAGCGTACTTGGCCTACGGACTTGCCCGTTGGGCTGTCCCAGCCCAAGAGAGCGGAGAAATGTCAATACGGGCAGCAGTTCATCGTCTTGTACAAAATGGTCGGGTCGTGCTACGGTCCTTACAACATAAGCCCTGCTATTCAAACGGATTCGCATACAAACACCTTAACAAAATACACGTTGCACAAGCGAGTAAGTTATACTTGGTAACTGTATGCCGGAAATATCACTACGAAATTCCGCAAGATGGAATTGCGAAATCATTCGTGAATCATCGACACATATAAAGCTAACAGTACATTGTGCTTGTTTTCGTTTAGATTTAGTGAGATTTAATAATATATTAAAAATGTAACGCATAGCATTTCTAGCATGTTACTGTCCAGAAAACAAGCACCGTGTACCGTTGACTTAAGTTAACCTTAACCTTGCACTCTTTTGAAGACTATCTATTTTGTACGCGTATCTATAGATCTGTTTAGCTATAGGCCTGTTCTTTGTAGCTGCACTGCTGAACTGATGCAATATATTGAAGTGAGACAAATATATGTTTTCGCACTCTAACTTATTGCACTAGTTCAGCAGTCAGCTACAAAGAACAGGCGTCATGTTCCGATATTCACTACCGTCATTGCTCAGTATTGAAAATCTATAGTTTATATAACGTATACCAAATACACAGTAGATGTCAGAACGCAACTCTTTTAATTGTACCAGGCTCCATTTTTTGAATTTGTAATCAAACAAGTATACAATCTAGCGCTGAAAAAAGGAACGAAATTTCAAAGCAATACTAAATTTAGCTAGAAAGAACAGATCTTATCTGCATTATAAAATGTAAGTCAATATATATTTTAATTAACTTGTTATAGAAAATAAATATTCTTGACATTTTCGAACGAAAAATCGCAAAAATCTTTGTTGCGATTTACCGATTATCCTATCGAATAATTTGTGCGAAAGTTATCGAATTCAGTCGTTGCGTTATCGCTAAATTTAGAACATTCCGTGAAATAGCAAAGCGATAGAACAGGTTAACATATTACGATGATAAAAGCGCAGCTTCTAATGCTTCGTGTTTATCTTAATAAGGTGAGTCCCAGAGCGGCCTTCTATGCCGGAATAGCGGCAATGTGTCAAGCACAGGAAGGCATCTTGGTTACTTGGGAACGCATGCTCGGCGGATTTTCGTCGATAACATCTTAAAGAGGGTAACAAACAGTCTTGCAGCGGATTTACGAAGACGCGCAGCGAGCAGACTTGTATTTGGCGATTCTGCGCCATTCTTTGCTCTCGTTGGTGTGTCCTTAGCATCAGGCACTGGCATATTAACCAAGGATGATGAGCTGGATGGAGTATGTTGGGAGATCCGAGTGAGTTTAATTCTTTTCTTCTTCAGTAACTAAACAGTAATTGTTAAGAACAGGATTTTTCACCAATTTGGCTTAAACTTTGCAATCTTGTGTATTGTTGATGTGTAAAATACAAATATCAAAGTAAAAATTGTTGTTCTTAAATAGAACAAGAGCTGCGAAGTGTTTAAAGATAATAGTTATAGGGTTGGGAAATCTATCGACAACACAAAGATACATTTGTGGTCAGAAAGGATTAATTAGATTTTTTTTATAAGTTTAGGAATCTATTCTTCTTGTCCAATGAGAGCTTTTTTATATAAATTCTTCTATTGGATAAGAAAGACCTAAACTTAGAAAAAACCCAGACAATCTTTACAGCCACCAGTATACATGAACATGCACAGGGCCGATTGTTTCAACTTCTTAGCTACCTGACAGTTACATCATGTGTCTGTCTGTCCAATTTAAAAAAAATGAAAACAGACATGATTTAACTGTCAAGTAGCTTACTAAGAAGTTGAAACAATTGGTCCACAGTAAAAGTGTAGCATATACAGTATTTGTATACATATATTTTTTAATGTACTTTTTTATTATGTTACAAAATTTATATTTTAAAATAATTTTTATTTTATATACATGTACTGTATGTGCTAACATAAATGAATTGAAAAAAACGACATATTTAAAAAGCTAGTACAGCTATGTACATACTTCAGGAAATAACAATTAAGTTTGAAATATAAATGATAAGTTTATCATGTAGTAGTTTTTGAGACACCTGCTTTATCATAGAGAGTTTTTGATGAATACAATTCTGCAATTGCATGGAAAAAAACTGATTAAGTGCTTTTTATATTTATGAATGTGTTGGAAGAGGTATTCTGTTAAATGTAAAAATATATGATTTATGAATATATAAAGTATCTTGTACATTTTTTGTTTAACTGTAGTATATATTTTTATTTAACTGTAGTATATATTTAAAATAAAAAATAATAAAAAATATATAAATATGTTCAAAATTAAAAATTATTAAGTAAATTTATTCATTTCTTTATTTTCTGATCTTACATATACTAATGCGTTGGACCAAAAATTTATAAGATACTTTATATATTTAAAATGTCTGTACTTACCAGATAAAGATTGTAGAATAATTAACTATCAAATATTGGAAACCTTCAGTGTTTAAAGACTTCTAATTGAAAGACTTCTAACAATTTGATATTACTGTTGACTTAGGTAATATTCATTCCTTAATCAGTTAATTCTAGAAGAGTTTTCTCTGTGCATTTTGAAACTGGTACAAAATATTTTTTTATTTATTTTTTTATTTTTGAATTTTTTGTATCCCAAAATATATATACAAACCTATATTTTTTGCATATAACAACTTTTAGTCTTATATAACATTATACATTGTGTATTAAATGTATAAAATTATACTTCTTGACAAAAGTTAATCTAATCAGTAACCAAAGGTACAGAAAGTTGTAATTCTGTATGTAAGAAATCTTGTCATAGAGACAAAAATTGAAGAAAAGATGTGAGAAAAAAATAAAGGAGATAATAGATGAAAATTTTGAAGTACTGAAAAGCAAAATGGAGAGAAAATGGAAGAGAATACAAATACAAAAAATGAAAGAGAAGTTCAGCTGGAGAAAAGAAGATGAGGACAAAACTAAGGAAGCAAAGCAATGGGACAAGAGAACAAGGAAGGAAATAGAAGGAAAGAAAAAAAATAAAGGATAGTCTACAAGCACTGAAGATGGAGATTAAAACTTTAATGTGGAATTGTGGAGAATGGAAAAGCAGCTTAAAGTAAAAAGGAACTTGAGAGTTGGTCCTATTCTACAATAGATGATTTAAATCCTAAGGGCCTTAAGAAATTGACCAATTACAGTCAAATGTGAGGAGAATAATTGATTGTAATTGGTCAATTTCTGAAAGAAGGTTTAAATCATCTATTATAGAATATCTTAAGGCTTAAATCATCTATTATAGAATAGGACTTAGAAATAGATATTTTATCATTAAGAAACTAAGTTTATCAAAGAGGATAAAGTGAGAATAATAGAATTTAATATAATCGGGAAGGAAAGAAACACGGGCGTAGGGAGAGTTTTAACACTGAGTTCTGCACTGAGAAAAGGACTTAGATAGGAACTAAAAGGATAATGAAATATATGATGTTATAGGAAAGATAGAAACGAAAGAAGTTAAAATCCTAGCGGAAAATAAACATCTAAATATAGTTGGAGTATACAGGAAGGAAAGAGATAAAACTAACTGGGAAAATATATTGAGAAAAAAAAAGAATAAAGAATGGACAATTCTGGGAGATTTTAATGCGCATAACATCCTATGGAATTACAGAAGCATGGATGAAAACGGAGAAATACTAAACGAAGTGATTAGAGAAAAAGGATTATGTTGTAAATAAGAATACAGAAACTAATGAGAGATAGAAAGAGAAGACCATCAAATATTGACCTAGTATTTGTTAGCGAGGGAATAGAAGAAGGCGTAAAATGCAAACACAAGAAAGAGACATCTGGGGTAACGATCATTTTCCAGTGAGTTTATCGATAAAATTTAAAAGATGATAATGATATATTAAAAAAATAATAGGATATGTAATTAGAAAATGGATTAGGTAAAGTATAAGAAAATCAGGGAAAGAGGAAATAAAACTAGAAGAACAGTATAAAACTTAATCAGAAAATGAAAAGTGTGTGAACGGTTAATAGAAAGGGCAAAAATAATATCGAGAAGGAGAAGAATAGAAGAGAGGGAAGAGAATGAAGAAAGAAATAATTCAGCAAGGAGTGAATAAAAAGGTAAAAGAAGAATATATCTGGTGGAATGATGGGATAAGGAATGCGAGTAAATGATTAGGTAAAAGAAGAATAAATTGAAGACACTTATGAAGAACAAAATAATTGAGAATTTTAAGATTTTTAAGGCTCTCCTGGCTAGTCACCGCGACCATATTGGTTGATGACGTCAGAAGCGAGAAATTGTACACGAATTTTGCGCCCGAATCATTGCAAAATAAAAAGATATGTTAACAAAGTGACACTTGCAATCGATCCTACACACTCGTAAAATGCTCCGGATAGTGTTCATTTCCCGAAATAACTTTTACAACACTGCTAAATATATGTGTGAAAATCGGCTTATTTTGACAGAAGATCAGCTGTAGACTCGGTGCGGAATATGATAGAATAAGTACTATTATAGTTAAAATATAAAAAGCACAGTATTTTGACACTTCCGCAATTGTGTTATGTGTGATATATAAGCACTACAGTCAGTAATAACGCCGTGATTCGGACGGAAAAATTTAGATGGCTGTTATACACATACACACATATACATACATAATTCGTTTTATACATAAGATGAACGAAGTTCTTATTCCTGTGATGGCTGTGTCGCCACCGTCAACGCGAACTTCTCGCCTGACTAGCCAGAAGTCTTAAAAAAGTAAAAATGGAAACAAAGAACTTAATTAGAAGCAAAAAAGAGCAGGATTTATGGAGTTTGTGAAGATCAACAAGAATATGGGGATATGACGTACGTGTGACATAAAAAAATATATTAAGAAAAAAGTAGAACGGAAGAATAAGGATAGGAAAAAAGAAATATGCAGAGATCGAGAAATTGGGAAGGGATTGGATATAGGAAGCAGAAATAAAGAAAAAGAGGAGATAGAAGATTAGAAGAAGGAGTTAAATAAGGGTCTATGAGAAGAGAAACTGAAAAGAACTGAAAAGAATTGGGAGGAAAAAAATGAAACCTGCACTAGGAATTGATGGAATAGAGTATAAAATTCTAAAGGAATCAACTAGGAAATTCAATGAAAAATTGTTGAACATATTTAATCAATTTTGGGGAAGAGGTGAAGAACCTGAGAAATAAAAGAAATATATTTATTGAAATGAAAGAAATGTATCAGAAATATATTTTTTGTTGACAAAAAAGGTAAACAAAAAGTTAGACCAATATCGCTTTTATCTTGGGAAAATTATTGGAAAAGATGATAAATGAGAGATTGAACTGGTGAGGAAGTAAAGAAGAGACAATTGTTGGATAGGAAATAAAACGGATTTAAGAAAGATAGAAGTGAATTAAAAAATGTATTGGAATTAACGGTGAATATTCGTAACGAATTTTATGGAAATAAGAAGACAATGACAATGTTCTTGGACGTCTCATCTGCGTATAACAATGTTGAAAGGAGCATATTTATATATAGGAAACTGATAGGAGAAAGATGTCTATCAAGAATAGCTAGATTTGTTAATCACTAGATGGATGAAAAAAAAATGAAATATATTATAGGGGAAACGGAAGAAACGATAAGAATGGTGTAACAAGGACTGCTACAAGAAGTATTGAGTCCTCTACTGTATGCAATTTAAACCAAGAACGAAAGGAATGGAATTGAAGAGTAATTATGCATAATAATGGCGACCTCAGATAGATTTCAATTACTTTGATGTTGTCAAGGTCACCCTCCTGAGTAACGTACAAAAAGTTTTAATCGTCGTTCGTTGTTTGTTAAAAAGTTATTAATAAAATAAGTTGCATAAAATGAATGTAATTTTTGGACATCATATATACGAAAACATCGAATTTGTAGGCTAAGAAGGTGTCTGTTACACACACACACACACACACACACACACACACACACACACACACACACACACACACACACACACACATATACTGCTACCTGCACGCGCGCTCGCCCGAGTAGCGTGTATATATGTGTGTAGTGTAAGAAATAAATACTTCCAAGTCTAACGAAAACACAAAACAACAGTTTATTCAATCCTTCAATAGGCTCAACCGCCACGTGTCTCCTCTACAGGAAGGCACAAACGATCATGCGAGATCTGCTCGTCTCAGTTCGATACACGCGCACGCACTTAGAGAGGATTCAGACTCCCTCAAAGACTCAGACGCTTTCCTACTCAGATGACACGGAGGTATAATCTATTCACGGGTCTTATCGTCCGCCCTCGTACCTCGTATCACGCCACTTCGTCCGAAACTCTCTCCTCGATATTCAACGCCTTGCCTTTGTTCTATCCTCACCCTCACTCTTTTCTCTCTGTGTGTTCTCGCTCTACTCTCTCTCTCTCTACAGTCTCTCTCTGTCCTCTCTCATGCACGTGCTTTTCTATGCTTGTTACAGCACCGCCTGTTCTGTAACCTACCTTGTGCTTACAGCCTATTACAATAGATAAGTTATCTTAATGTTACCTACGCTGCTGTATATTTCTTAGCAGGTATCTTGCTAGCTTACAAATTCGGTGTTTTTGTATATACCCAGATAGCCAAATTTTGCCCAACACTTAACTACAAATTTTGCTGCCAAAATGTCATCAAATTGGACACAATATCTGCTAAATCAAAGGTTGTTGGCAAATTGGCGCCAAATGCCGAACAAAACTTGGTGAAATCTAACGCCAAATTGACGCCAAATACCGACCAAAGTTTGTGCGGCGCAGTTTGGCGCCAAACTTTGCTCGATATTTGGCGACAATTTGGCGTCAGATTTTGTCACCAAGCTTTGCTAACAAAACCCAAGCATATTGCGGACGCAGATGGCATCGGATTTGCCGTCAAGTTTTGGCCATATTTGGTGTCAATTTGGCGACAATTTGGCACCAAATTGTTTGCTGGGTAAAAATTACTTTTTTGTGTCCAAAAATTACTTTCATTTTATGCAACTTTGTTAATAAATTTTTTATATTAATAACGTTTTTTGTTAATAACAAATAACAAACGACGGTTAAAACCTTCTGAAGGTTACTCAGGAAGGTGACCTTGACAATATATATCAAAATGATTGAAATCTATGACGTCACCATTATTATGCATAATTATCAAAATGATATGTCTAGCCGTTTCAGCCAGTAGGCCATAGTTTCGAAAAAATTGATTTTTAAAGAATGACTCTAGTCAGCCGCGGCACACTTGATATACAGTTTGGCTGAAAAGTTTTAGGACTGAGTTCATAAACAAAACAGAGTATGATAAAGAAAATTGTTATTACTAATTATTCTATATATGATCCTTGCAAAGTTATACATCGTTCGGCGCGCTCCGCCAGCCGTTTTAGAGTGTGCTGGAAATCCGTTACTGGAATGCTTCGTAGCTTTCTCGTTACGTTATCTTGGATCGTCGAATTATTGTTCTTTTAACTTTAATTTCAGTTTTGGAAGCGTATGAAAATATTTGGTTCTGCCGGGAATCGAACCCGGGACCTTTAGCATAACAGACCAGTGCACTGCCATGCCATACTCGTACTCAAAAAGTAATCCACCGGTGCTAAATCCGGCGAATACGGTGGATGGTGTAGCACAGTAACATTTTTTTTTAATTTTCTTGAATGTTCTCTCTACCGTCTCGAAATTTACCAAACCACAAAAACACTCGATCGAAATAAACATTCAACACCGTATGCGTTTTACATCATTTAATAAGTTTCGCACTTATTTAGCAATTTTACCATTTTTAAAACAAAACTTGATCGTACAACTCTGTTCCAAATACGATTCCATAACAACCGCAAATAATACACGACACACCAAACGTTGTATCTTGGCGAAAACTGAACAAAATTTGATGCAACTTGGCAACCGTATTCAGAAGGCTTTGGACTACATGCTTCCATTTGTCGCATACAGATGGCGCTACTTACGCGGTTTTTATTACATTAGTCCTAAAACTTTTTAGTCGCACTGTGTACACGCACCGGCGTTAATGCCGTCCGAATATCCGTGTGACTCGCACACGATAACGCGTCACTCATACACTGCTGCGTGTAGGTGAGCTAAGAGCAGCACGGAGTGGCGGAGGGAGCTAGCGGTATACGATCGTCGGACGCTTGGAGAGGGAATAGTGGTGGGAGTCGCGGCGATCTTCCATCCTCTATCGCAAACGTAAGAACGAGAGAAATAGCATTATAAGACGTCTGGACAGAAATGCCGTCCTAAAATACGTGTGACACACAC